GGGCCGGTGGTGGCAGCAATGATAGATTCTTTGATCTGGCTGTACAAGATAATATAGGAGAACTCTGTTCCTTAGTTGCAGAACGGGCTGATTCAGTAGCGGTCGCATCTTCATTACTGGTAACCACTAGTGGGAAAGTATTATCAGAGGGTCTTCCGCCTGACGAGCCAGGTGAGCCGAATAACGAAATGAAAGAACAGGTGGTCAGCAGGCAGATAAGTACAGACCAGGCTCCTAGTCCTGACCAGTCTCTGCACAATTTTAGTGATTCAATTCCAATCGAATGTTCAAATGTTGCAGCCTCCACTCTTGGCATTGGGCCTTGCACCGGTGACGCAACTGGGCTGGTTGGAGGAGGTGGAATAGTCTCCAGTATTTTCGGTTGTGGCTCAGAAGGCAACCTACTTACAGCTTCGAAACGCCACACCGCCACTAGTTTTGCCATCGGCTTCGGCTGGAAAATGTCGCCTACATTGCCCGGAGCTACAGGCGGAGCATTCTTGGAATCTTTCGGAGACAGTATAGAGATGCCAGGGATGCAGACCTACTGCTCTTTAGCCTCCCCGAATCCAACAGGTGAAGGAGGGTGCACTAGCCCTTTGCCTATGGGCTCAATTTGTGGAAATTCACACGCCGGCTTGGAGGCCAGTCTTTCGGTTTCAACTGCCGTCAAAAGAGCCTGCATTGGCATTGGCAGTGGCGGGGGTAGTTTTGATAGTAGCCCAGCACACAATCGAGATCTGGAACAACTGGCTTCTGCTAGCTTGCGTTTAACGTGGGCGGAGCTGGTACTCAGGCTGCAAGAGGACATGTCCACTCTATTCCGCGAATTCTGGGAGATCCCAATGAATCACGCTTCTAAGCACGATTGCCCTATAGCTGGAATCGGACAAAAGAATCGCTACCAGTCCATTATTCCAAGTATATTATTATAATTTTAATTAGTTAATTTATTATCAGATAAAGACTTATAGTTTGATAAGGAACTTCATTTGAATCGTAAATATGCATCGTGTATTGCATTTAGGGTTACAGGCTCCCTCTGTGCTTACTTTCC